AATATCAGCATATTCTAAAATAGGACGAATAAATGTAATATAAATTAATTCAAGTGACTTTCTGTCAATTTTGTACTTTAACATTCTAAGAATATTTATTCGTTTATAAGCTTTCTCATACATAAAGCTTATGTGGTTGGACCAATTAGCATGACTGTTAAAAATTAGACCCAGGTGCTTATGACATTTTTAATAACCGAGTTATTAAAATACAGATTTGGATGCAGCATTTCAGAATCTATTCGCCTAGAAAAAAGTAGGGATTCAGTCTTATCCGGACTGAAAATAATACCCCACCTATTGGCCCATCTAGAAAATTTTCGGAGATCATCATTCAGTATATCAGCCGCATCTTGCCTGTCACCCTCAATTAGGCCATATAAGGACGTGTCATGAGCAAATAATTTCACATAAGATAGTAAATCATCACCAATATTATTAATATATAGCAAGAACAGATAAGGACCAAGAACCTTGTGACCCCACCTGTAATGTTTTGTGTTATTAGGACCACTCTCTGTCTCCTGTCAGATAAATAAGATGAAAACCACATTAACATGTTATTACTAATACCATATTTTTTCAATTTGTAAATTAATCCATCATGCCAAACTCTATCAAACGCTTTGCTAATATCACAAAATATCATTCTTGCTTCTTTACCTTTATCCAAATGCTTAATAATTTCATCATATATAATTAAAAGTTGATTAACAGTAGAATCTTTTGGTAAGAAACCTGATTGGTTTCTAGATATAATATTGTATCTTGAAAGATAGTTATACAAATATTTGAAAACAATTTTCTCATGGATTTTACTGGAGATTGGAGTAACAGAGATTGGCCTATAGTTGGAAGGGTCACTTTTTCCTCCTTTCCCTTTATATACAGGTGTTACATGGGCATTTTTCCAGGAGGTAGGAAGTACACCTGCAGAGATAGATTTATTAAATATTATAGAGAGAGGTTAAACAAGGGATTGAGAAACTCCTTTTATGAATTTGGAAGGGATGGCATCAGGGCCTGCAGGTTTGTTAGAATTTAGAAGCTGAAGTTGGTCAATAATGTCCTGTTCAGTTATGTCGATAGAAGAGAAGTTGATAATTGGTGGGGGATAGTCAGGTGGTAAATCATCAGCATTCTTGTCTGTCGTTGAAATAGATGTGAAGTAATCATTGAAAGACTCATCTTTATCTAGAGGATGTATTTTCAGATCATCATTAATTATCAGGGGAGAGTCAGTATCGCTTTTATTATGTAGATTCATAACTGATTTAGCAATTCGCCACCATTTTCCAGGAGGAATAGTTTTATCAATAAGAGAATATTGTAATTTATATAGATATTCATTTTTAGCCGCTCGAATTAAGGTAATTAGCTGGTTTCGAATAACTTTAAATTTATTCCAGGAGGCCTGGGAATTCTGTTGTTTAGTTTTAGAATGCTGACGATTTCTCTGTCTTATTTTCAGTGTATTTCATTAGTCATCCATATTTTGTCATAAGGTCTAATAGTTACAGTCTTGTTTGGTACTAATTGGTCAATAGCAGCTTAAATTTTGTTAGAATATAATTCATTTCATCAATATCACCTACTAATTGAAAATTCCAGTCAATAGAACTAAGAAATTCATTTGCTCCATCAAAATTAGTATTTTGGAAATATATAAGGGTTTTTTTATAAGCAAGTTTCTTAAAAGACTTGAAGTTTAAGTTAGCAGTAATTGGGGAGTGGTCACTACAAGATGGGGGTAGCACAGATGTATTAGTAACAAAGTTAACATTATTAGTAACAAGAATATCAGGTGAAGTTGAAGGTTGAGGAGTAACCCTAGTTGGTTCAGTAACAGTATTTTGTAGTCCGTATTTTAATAAGAGTCTATAAAAATGAGAGTTTGGACTAAGGTTTAGCATATCTTGATTAATATCTCCAACCAGAATTACTTCTCTTTGTAAATCAAACACATCATTTAAATTATTTTCAAGTTTTTGCCAGTAATTAACAAGAGAAGAAATTTCTTGACCAGGTTCATCGTATATATCCATCAGAATTGGAAATCAAAGACTCGACAGATTCCTCTTCATCAGCTGCCTAATTCGATCTTTTCCTAAAACGAAACCAACATGTACAGCTTTCCAACAAGCTGAATGATAACGTAACACAGGGTTTCAAACGATGCAGATTGATGAAAATTTTGGGGACGTTTTACTTTCGTCACGGTGATCTCATAGAGAAATAATCTATTTCTTTGTGCGATATGAAGCTGGATGTTCTTGATGCTCGTTAGTTTACCTGTTTGCTCCATTGTTGTATATATTGTTCTCATTTGAAAACGTGACATTACTTACTTGAATTGACCATGGTTTTACATGGCGGATGTCTCGAAGGAACACCTGGTTTTATTCTCATTACATATTTTTAGGGGTTTCCGCGTAAGTCTTTGTTTTGTTCATATTTCGCCCTAGTTTTATGGCATTTGAGTTTGGATTATGAATATGTTGCCATTGTGGTATTCTCTTTATGTTTTTTGTTGTCTTTCTCTTCTTTTTTCTTGAATCTTGTATTTGCTTTCACTACAATAGAAAGATGGCTCTAAGACTTCTCTCAAGAGCACATCAGCTTATCTTGTCATGTTGGTATTTTCTTATATTTTCTGGGGTTTTTATCACAAATGTTCATCAATATACTGAAACATGGTTTATTATGTCAACAAATCTTCTGACGTCATAATGATTATTTCAGGCCGTGCACATAGTCTTGTGTTTCTGACATTTTTTCGTATCATTTTAATGTTGAACCTCTAATAGTTTATTAGCTACAATATACATGTATTTAGAGATCGGTCAATAACTGGCATCTTTACAACCATTTAACTGATTGTATTAATGACATACATTGCCACATCAGCCATTCTACTCATGAATTATTTCACAGGACATAGGTTGATATAGATTTGGCAGCATGTGAATAAATAATACATTAAGTCCAAGACCCACACAAAGAGTGAATTATTTATTTACAATATGTATAACACGACGGACATTCGAACATAAACGACCATCCTTTGCACACCATGTCAGCAATATATATTACATATATATTTATGTTGTAAAGAATATTACGGTTATCGTGTATCTCCTAAGATAACACAGCCGTTTTGCAGCCAGACGGCGACAATGGGCTTGGGATGATCCACTTAGGACAGCTCACTAGAAACAACAAAATCAGCTCCATCACTTATATCTTAATGTTTCCAAGAACAATCACAGCACACACGATTTATTCATCATTATAAACATGGGAATCCCCTACAGACATGTGGTCCACTCCTACGGATTTACGAGCTTTATTAAAGTCATTATGGGGACGTCTCAGGAGAGATCTCGGAAACATTTCTCGATCCCAGACAGCTATTGTTTCTCAATCATAATACAATGAACCTGGCATCAACCCTAAAGCAGTGATACATTTGTTTCAGTATTTCTTGTAATTGTTTATCTTCGTTTCACTACCAAAACTCAAATTATATAATCTAATTTTAGTCTTATTGCAATTTTCTACGAAAGTTTATATCCAGATTACACGATAATCTTTATTAAACGATCGCTGCTATTTCTAAACCTTTTACTTTGAGTTTAGAGATATTGTAGATGTTTTTGCATCGAAGTTTCCGATTGGTAAAGGCAGAAAACAAGCACGGACAACCGTAAGTGCACAGTTGTGAGTACAGGAAACCGAGATCGTCACTGTTTTGTACTGAGTACTAGAGTAATTGATACAGAAGTCGTCACTGCTCTGTTGTGAGTACATTAGTTAGTGAAACAGGAACCGTAATGCACTGGAGTGAGTACATTGCTCTGCCGTGAGTACATGAAACATCAGAAAATATCAACACGTATGAGTACGTAATAAAGAGGGCTCCATTACCTTCAGTACATTATTAAAATGAAACAAGTGCTTTCATTTCTCTGTCTTGATTATTGTAAACAGGCAAATCATAAGAATCCCGAAAAGATCTCATGTACATGTTAGTTTTGTTAAGGGGTTGGTATCTTGCATCCATATAGACTCTTATTTTCAGAGTATTTCTTTTTCAATCAAATTGATATCACAAACGATTTTTTTCAGTAATTTAAGTATCTGGTTATAATTCGATATAATGTAATAAAAGATGATTTAATACGATAATGTAGATCCAGTCATAGTAGTTATCATAATTGGGAGCTGTTTTGAAATGGAGGCGATATTTTACATATCTCTTGAGGAAATCGGGCATGGATGCAGCTATTAGACCATACTATCTCAACATTATCAAATTTACTATACATGTGCCAGATTTTGTCATGAAAAATTTCTATCAATGAATATTTACTTGTGATACCTCATTGATAAAGAATTAAGGAAAACGACGAAATGATTAACAGTAGATCTAGCGTTTTCTAAGCTTATTAAAGAATAAAGTAATATTGATGAGATTTAATTGTTTTTTAACTCCGGCACAAAACATTCAAACTCCTACTGGAACAGTCGAAAAATGGAACGACCGACAAGAACATTGTAGTTTTCATCATTTCCAAATTACATTGAATGTGTAGTACTGCTGTAATGAGAGACCTGCGGGGAAACGTAAATGTATTTCTGTATATGTGTATTGGTTCATATTAACGGTATATTTCTTATTAATGTATTTTGCCCAAAAAACATGTTCTGTTTCTCTTTTATCAATATGTTAATATGAAGTTAGCATGAAAACAAGTGATCCATCGAAATACATGCCCTACGATATGTCCAATTACCCTCTGTTTCACGATACGTCTGTAGGTCACGTGACAGTAGATCCTGTAGAGGAATCTACACTCGTTGTAAACTCCGGATATCGTAGAAATTATCGTATGATTAAACAGTATAGGGTGATGTCCTGACGACATAAGGTGAGGGGTGAAGGTCACACATCCTATATATAGATAAACTAGGCTGATAATTCAATTGTTCACTTGAAGATGGCGTACACACTTGTGATCTTCTTGGCTTTGCTAGCCATGGCAATGGCCGGCTCTATTCAATTTAAAGACTGTGGTAAGTGTTGAATTTGGGATATATTGCAACGAATATTATCCCGATTTTTCTGTGTGATGTGAAAGTAATTCATCTTAATCAATTACAGACTACTTGAACAGATATTCAGAATATCTTACCTGGTAAAGGTAATTGTATTAATATTTACCAGGTAAGGTATTTTGGACGAAAACAGTACTGGATTCTACTTGAAATGATTAGTCTGAAAATTTTTTATGCTAGATCGGACAAGGCTTGATGTAAAGAAGAGATATGCAGTTACGTGAGACGGGTTGGCAGAGAGGAAGAATGGGTAGCTTTATTATATTAGAGGGCAGTGAAAGTGGATACCAGACATTATCAAATTGATAGGATAGGATGGGGTTGGTTTGGAAACTGAATTAGCAATCAAACGAGAGTGGTGAGCTAGATTATTATTTTTAACAAATTTGATATATCAATTTTAATTCGAACTTCAAATTCATTTGTTAAATAATAATCCTTGTAAAACCTATTTAACTAATGTAAACTTGATTATTGTAGCGGGGGTTCTGCTCGCGACCTTGACAGGCAAACAGTACGTTCTAGATTATTTTCGCGATCAATGGGCATTCGCATACCTAATGTATATTTTGAAATGTCACACGTTCATATGCGAGAATGATATTTACTATTGACTTATTAGGTATAAGTTTCCATCACTTGTAAATAAATGTTTAAGTGTTGAACTTCGCGATTAATATTTGACTTTAAGTTATGAAGATTATATATCGTCGTCCTTTGTAGTGTGTACACAACCACAGTAATCTTTACCGATAGACAAGTAGGCTCTCCTAAGTAGGTCGAAGTACAGATTAGATGAGCTCGTTGGTAGCTATTGTTAGTCGACAGTCTTTGACCTGCGTTATCTGTAAGATACTCACCTTCGATAGTAGATGAAATTGTGATAGTGAAACGTCTTATTACGCAATCGAACAACTGCTGCAGATCACCTGTTTCCACGCATACCTGCATTTATAGTTGTCGTTAGTATTCCTGTTTATAAAAGGCTGTAGCTATTAGTGCAGATATAAGTGGAATCAGATGGTCTTTATCAATATTTTCATTATTAACCAGATCCTGTAGGTAAGACATAAGAATGCGTCTTTAAATATCTATATTCTTCCTAATGTTTCCCTTGACTGACACTGCCTCACTTTTGGCCTTTCAGTTGAGCGTTCGTCTCAGTGAGGGAGGCTTTGGGTTCCCTCCTCAGGCAGTGTCATATCACATATCATATTAAGTGGTAGCCTATACTCCATGTATAAAGCTCAGCATTCTAGTAGTGTAATGAGTGGTTAACCCATTGTCGGTATGATATGACCTGTAGGGGGTCCTGCAGAAGTACAGCATACTTCGGTAAGCTAGTAACATAAAATCAGCTTTGATTTCGTGGTATCATAAGGACGCTTACACGAAGATATATCAGCCTCCACGAAACACGATCACTCACCTAACTTACTACGCGAGATCGCCCTTAAATCACCCTGACTATTGATAGATCGTTTAAGGAAAAAAATAACGTTACTATTCAACAATCTTTATTACCTCGGAGTGTTGACATCACTGCCCAACAATCTTTATTCTCTCGGAGTGTTAACATCACTGCCCAACAATCTTTATTCCCTCGGAGTGTTAACATCACTGTCCAACAATCGTTATTACCTCGGAGTGTTTATGGTACTGTCCAATAATACTTTCTTTCTCCTTCGCCGTTTTGACCATTCCACTTGTACACAATTAAAAGTTCCCAACGTAGCAAAACGCTTATAAAAACAGTCAGTAACTTTGTCGTCTTCATATTCAGAGCATGCAGCAAAATAAAACATGCAATATCGGCAACTTTACATTATCGGTTTCTGCCTGCTCATGAAAATATTCGAGAGAACTGCTGGGTACGTCTATCAAAATGTTTCCTGTAGGAAACCTTAGTTTATACCAAAGTTAATTTACAACAGAAATATTTAACTATATGTAAATTTTATTCACTTTTAGCAAAACATTAAAAAAATTCGAGCAAACTGAGAACATTGTAATATACACAATATCAATAAATTGATTTATTGTTTTAGGTTCCAAGGGTGCTACAATTCAATCAGTAGATGTTGGAGGATGTACGGCAGAGCCATGTCATCTTGTCCACGGCAAAAATGCAACCATGTCTGTCAAATACACTGCAAGTAAGACGTAGTTTCGAATTTCCTAGTCCTCTGCATAATTGGTGACGTATTTATCATTATCTACACCACGAAGAAAGCCGACGCTCGAAGTATCTAGTCAGTGTTATCAATAATTACTTGTTTGTTACCAACTGCGCAATATGCAATAGTTTCGGAGTTTAAAAGTTATCATATCAATATACACCTTTTATACAACATCAGAAATTTACACATTAGGGCCAAATAATAAAAAAAACTATATCAATTAGAATTTTCATGTCATTGGCTCTAATAATGAAGGTCTAAATTACGCATCCGAGAAAACTATAAAGTGAAAGGAAGATATATCGAAATCGAGATGGGTAGGTGCACTGAATATCGTAATAACAAACCCACATAATACTGACATTAATAAAGTTATGTAGTCAACGTACATGATGAATCCTTATCTTGCATGCTAAGGACCATAATGTTAACAATGTGATACAAACAGTTTTCAGTGAAATAATGTACGTTTCCTTTGTTATATTATGAGTATGCACACATAAAGCTGTTACTTTTTATATATAGGTGAGGACGTGCAACATCCTACCAATTCCATATATGGTATTATTGCCGGAGTACCTGTCAAGTTCCCGTCCCCGGAGGATTGCTGCTCAAATAAAAATCTCGTCTGTCCCATTAAGTCAGGGACTTCGTCTCAATATAATATTGACATATATGTTTCTCCTTCCTACCCAAAGGTAAAATGCTATTCATCAATAGTAATGACGGAATAAAAAACGTTTCAGTTTGAAAACAAATCATTTCTATATATACATTATAAGTCTATGTAATAACATGATTAAGTATGAATGTTATAAAAATAAATGAATGAAACAATTCCAGTTTGAAAAGTTTTTACAAATATTTTGAATAAGTGTAGAAAGATTTATAAGCTTGAATTTTTTAACAATAAAAAGTTCTAGTCATATTTGAAAATAATAGAAAATTATACAAATTGATCTTGATATTGGAAACAATTTTGGTTTTTATTGAATTCTTACTAAATATTTTTCTTTCGTATTTAGATTTCAGTCCTTGTCCAGATGGCGGTCAAGGATGATAATAAGAATGACTTCCTTTGTTTAGTATTTCCTGCCGTTATCGCCGACAGCTAAAGGAAAGGCAATTCTAAAAACAATTAATGATACACGACGCTTAAACTGCCATTTATATTTGTTTTTTTATTAAATGAATAAACATCACTCATTCATTTGAACGCTTTTGTTATTTAATCACTAGTACTTGATTAGGAGTTCCAGCAAAGCCAGCGTCTTCTGCTAAATCGATGACACCCACCTGTTAAATTATTTGCTCCACTTGCCATATTAGACAATACGAACAACTTGTGAAAACATTAAACAGATGGAATAACAAATTGACAACTAAGAAAATGAGACGTGAATATGGTATTGTCAAGCATCTGACCTATTCAAAAATTATGTCAAATGATAGTTTACAATACATTTCACCCAAACCGTTTGGGGGGGGGGAGGTGGGTGTGTGTGTGTTTATTTCTTAAAATATCAAAGACATTTTGTATACCGAGTGGAATTAGATGTTTTCCGATGTTCTTGTTTGCATTGTTCTTACTTGAGAATATGACAGTATTTATTTGAATTGATCAAGATTTACTTAAGGGATTTCATTAATGAATCACAAGACACTTAACCTTTCGGAACAAGATTCTGTAACAAGTTGGTATTTTCATTGCTGTTATTGATGAAATAGAAGACAAATTCCTGGCACTGAATTACATCTTAGTTATCTAATATTGGATTTGTAAGAAGGGATGAATTTCTATGACGCTACAAAGATTTAAAGAAATTTGCTGATAATTGGCGGGAGAATACATCTCGGCAATATTTAAGTGCTGGGAAAAGGTCAATAACTGCTGCAAGCTATTTTTGCATTAGCGTGCTTTTCTTGAAATCATAAATTAATCTCAATGTAAACACTACCAAGTCTGAAAGGGATGGATTGGTCAAAAATGAGAGAGTAGTCCTTCGGACAAAATTAAGATAATGAAAAATCATATGGTAATTCTTTACCAAAATAGTCAAATTATGCTGCTGTCCAAGAATTCCTGTCATTGTGATTAAAGTATACCAAGTTTGAAAGAGATCAGAAGAAAACTGTGGAAGAGTTATTTTCGGCTCATTGAAGGCCAAATACATAGAAAGCAAGATTTGAGAAATGTCTTATATTTATTTAGTGTAAATCTGGTATACAAATACAGATACAATGTTATCACAAATTTGTTTTGTGAAAATACCTAGTAAACAATGATAAGTCAAACTACATTAACGATTCAAGGAAATGTTAATGTATGTGTAGCCTTTCAATTCACTTTTCTTGTTTCAAAGACGAAAATGGATAGGAAAGTGAGTAAAATGGGGACAGCAGTAAGTGAAAGCAGATATCGTTATGATTTCCATCGTTTCACAACTACATTGAACGTGTAATACTGATTTAATGAAACGACCGCGGGGAAATTTAAAAATAAATGTATATATATATATGTGTGTATTGGTTTATATTTCGTATATGCTAATAACCTTATATTTTTGTTAATATATTTTGCCCAAAATCATGTCGTGTTTCTCTTTCATCAATATGTTGATATGAAGCTAGCATGAAAACAAGTGATCCAATCGCCCTACAATACGTCCGATCGTAGGTCCGGTATAGGATCTGTGCTCGTTATAAAATCCGTTATCAAAAAAAAAAAAAAAATGTCGTAAGATTAAAAAGGATAGGGTGATTTCCTGACGACATGAGTTGAGGGGTGAAGGTCACACATCCTATATATAAACTAGACTGATAATTCATTTGAACACATGAAGATGGCGTACACACTTGTGATCTTCTCGGCGTTGTTAGCCATGGCAATGGCCGGCTCTATTCAATTTAAAGACTGTGGTAAGTGTTGAATTTGGGATACTGCAACAAAACGGTATCATGAGTTGTTTTCTGTATAAGTAATTCTTCTCAAAAATTACAGACTACGTTAACAGACATTCTGTTGACTAGTGTATTTGTGTTAATACAATTACATTTAACAGTGAAGTCATTTTGGACGAAAAGAGTAGTGGATTCTACTTGAGATGATTAATCTGAAAATTTTTATGCTAGATCGGACAAGGCTCTCAGTAAAGATGGGGTACGCAGACACGCAAGAAGGGTTGGCAGACACGAGGAATGGGTAGCTTGATTATACTGGAGGGCATGGAAAGTGGTTGTCGGCGTTTATCAACTTAATAGGATGGGTGGGTTGGTTTGAAAGCTAAAGTAATAATAAAAAAAAAGTTGTGAGCTAGTTTATGTTTTGATAAAAATAATATTTTGATAATATTCATTGACGAAGTAATAATCCTTATTATCACTGTAAACTTGGTTATTTCAGCTGGGGCTCTTTTCGCGATTTTAGCGGCAAACTGTACGCGCTGGGTTATTTGCGCTCTTGTCACCACCTCTCTTTTGGCCTTTATTTGAGTATTAACGTTAGTGTTCAACAATCTGTACTTTCTCAGCGTGGTAACCTTACTAGCCAACAATATTTTTTTTCTCCTTCGCCGTTTTAACCATTTCACTTGTACACAATTAAAAGTTCCCAACGTAGCAAAACGCTTTTAAAAACACTCAGTAACTTTGTCGTCTTCATATTCAGAGCATGCAGCAAAATAAGATATGAAAAATTATAAAATTTACATTATCAGTTTCTGTCTGGTCATGAAAGTATTCGAGAGAACTGCTGGGTATGTCTGTCAACATGTTTCCTGTAGGGAAAGCTAAGAAAGTAGTTTATATCGAAATTACTTTTCAACAGAAATATTTGACTGTATGTAAAGTTTTTACTTTTAGCAAAACACTGAAAAAACACAACGGGAACAAACTGAAAACATTGTAATATACACAATATCAATAAACTTATGTATTGTTTTAGGTTCCAAGGGTGCTACAATTCAATCAGTAGATGTTGGAGGATGTACGGCAGAGCCATGTCATCTTGTCCACGGCAAAAATGCAACCATGTCTGTCAACTACACTGCAAGTAAGACGTAGTTTCGAATTTCCTGGTCCTCTGCATAATTGGTGACGTATTTATCATTATCTACACCACGAAGAAAGCCGAAGTTCGAAGTATCTAGTCACTGTTATTAATAAATACTTGTTTGTTAACAACTGCGCAATATGCAATAGTTTCCAATTTTAAAAGTCAACATATCAATATACACCTTTTATACAACATTAGAAATTTACACATTAGGGCCAAATAATCAATAAAACTATATCAATTAGAATTTTCATGTCATTGGCTTAATGATAAAGTTTAAATAAACGCATCCGAGAAAAATATAAACTGACATGAAGATATATCGAAATCGAGATGGGTAGGTGCACTGAATATCGTAATAACAAACCCACATAATACTGACATTAATAAAGTTATGTAGTCAACGTACATAATGAATCCTTATCTTGCATGTTAAGGACCTGAATGTTAACAATGTGATACAAACAGTTTTCAGTGAAATAATGTACGTTTCCTTTGATATGAGTATTCGCACATACAGCTGTTACTTTTTTTATATATAGATGAGGACGTGCAACATCCTACCAACTCCATATTTGGTATTATTGCTGGAGTACATGTCAAGTTCCCATCCCCGGAGGATTGCTGCACAAATAAAAATCTCGTCTGTCCCATTAAGTCGGGGACTTCGTCTCAGTATAATATTGACATATATGTTTCTCCTTCCTACCCAAAGGTAAAAAGCTATTCATCAAAAGTAATGTCGGAATAAAAAACGTTTCAGTTTGAAAACAAATCATTTATATATATACATTATAAGTCTATTTATTAACATAATTAAGTATGAATTTCATAACAATAAAGAGTTTTTGCCATATTTAAAAAAAAATAGAAAATTATACAAATTGATCTTGATATTGGAATCAATTTTGATTCTTATAGAATTCTTACTTAATATTTTTCTTTCGTATTTAGATTTCAGTCCTTGTCCAGATGGCGGTCAAGGATGATAATAAGAATGACTTCCTTTGTTTAGTATTTCCTGCCATTATCGCTGACAGTTAAAGGAAAGGCAATTCACTTAATGATACAAGACGCTTAAACTGTCATTTATATTTGTTTTTATCAAATTACTAAATAAATATCACTCATACATTTAAACGCTTTTGTCATTAAATCATTAGTATCTGATTAGGAGTTCCAGCAAAGCCAGCGTCTTCTGCTAAATCGATAACACCCACCAGTTAAATGTTTGCTTTACTTGCTATATTAGACAATACGAATAACTTGTGAGAACATTAAACAGATGGAATAACAAATTGAAGTAAATGAGACGGAGATATACTATCAAGAAACTGACCTAGATATATTCATAAATTATATCAAAGGAAATTTTGATTGTGTACAACGTTTCCCCCAAATTGTTGCTGTTTTTCTTAAAATACCAAAGACAACTTGTATTACCTAGTGAAGTTAGATGCTTTTCGATGTTCTTGTTTGCAGTGTTCTTACTTGAGAATATGACAGTATTTATTTGAGTTGATCAAGATTTACTTGAGGGATTTCATCAATAAAGCACAAGACACTTTACCTTTCGGAACAAGATTCTGTTAGCAAGTCGGTGTTTTCATTGCTATTATTGATGAAATAGAAGACAAATTCCTGGCACTGAAATACATCTTAGTTATCGAATATTGGATTTGTAAGAATTGATAAATTGAACATGCGTTTTGGTTTGCAATGGAGTGGACATTTTCAAAGCGTGCCTTAATATGCCCAATAAATGAATAAATGTTCACCTGACATACCAGCTTTTATGGTTTTTCACGAACTATTTTCATTTAGGAAATGAATTACTAATTTGTATTCTTTTCGTAAAATAACTCACAGACAAATCAAAATATGCTTACACATTTACATTTATCAATTGTATCAAAATATGCATTTCTCTCTTAAATCTTAAAAGAGACCCACATGGCTGATATTGCACGTTTGGGTTTAGCAGATGAATGTTCACAATTGTAGGATTTTTAGTTATCTATCTGGTCGCTTGTAAAATTTTGAGCGTGATCTTCAAAAGTCAATTTTGGAATCAAGTCAGAAAAAGGATATGAACAATTTTGTTAATCACCCCATTGGAGCCTACCATTACAACCCCGTTAAATGGACCTTTCCGCCTGGTTTTAACCTTTCTCCTCCCAATTTTCCTCTGTCACCCCCTAGCTTTTTAGGATCTAGGCTCTTTGCATCACTGACGGGTCCTAGACAGACTAAACAGTTGTATAATGTAGTTTATTTTGCAATACTATATACTTTTATCTGGAAATGTGCTAACTATTTGGGTCTTTTGTACAGTCGATTGATAAGTGAAAATAAAGCAATACTGTTTCGTCAAGCAATTATGGCATCCAATATGTCGCCGTGTTATTCCTGTTCAATCACTATGTAGCTAAAAAGTTCCATGATGTGGGGCTTTTGTTATGTCATCATGCAGCTTAAATTGTACTTTGTCAGCTAAAAAGGAAATAACGATATAAAATTGATTTTTTTAATGTCACCATGCACGTGGTAAAAGTGTATACGTCATTGAGTTGTCGTCTTTGTGACGTCACAATTATAAGATCTGTGAAGATCTACAAATTACTGAAGTTTTCAAAACACTGTCAGGTAATTTAGACATTTAGTGTGTTTGCGTTTTACCCCATGTAATACAACCTATTGTAACGTCCCGATTGGATAATAAAACGTCACACAGATTTCATTTTGACATGAAAAGATTTTCCAGAGTTATTGATCATGTGAAAAAACCGAATCGAATTGCTCATTCAACTGAATACTTTTAGACTTATAGATGTAACAAGCATTATTCGTTTTCGGGGAAATGTTTAACCCAACAGATGTGTTTTTTGCATTAAAATTTGATTTAATGATAATGGGATAAAAAAAATCGATGTAGAAATGCACCCTTTTGAAACTGAATATAAACCAAATATGACACTACAAATAAATGCTTTCACATGTATCTTAATCAATATTCTAAAATGTCACCTTTAAAAAAATGTGCTGCTTTGATAGAGCAATATTGAGAATACTATCAAGATTAAAAATCAAAATGGAGTCGCTGTGCTGTTTTGGAAAATTTTTTAATAAGCCATTTCCTCAGGTGACGTTACTCCTAAACGAACAGTTGTTATGGAATTGAAATTCAAATTCATATTAGTTTGTCAAAATGGATATAAGCATAGGTCAGCATACAATGAGTGATTACGATGAATTTTGAAAGCTATCATTTGACAACTGAAAGTCAATACATAATACCGTATATAGTGTAGAGACAGTTTTACAAATTTAATTATTACATCTAAGTTGTTACGCTATTTAGAAAAACCACATATCATAACATGGCATCCGAGAGGGATTGAGGCACGCACCCATAAATGATTTTTTCTCTCAATACTAAGTGATAATATTTGTAAACTGTCAAAATTCAGGATAGTCGCCTGTTAGACATTTTTGTCTTTGATTAGCCAAAAATTAAAATAGCACAACTAGGGACCACGAGGAACCCACGTATATATCTAATTTTAAAAAGATCAATCTCTTACTAATCACGTGATAGTGAAAACAAACTCCAAGAATACAATCTCTTTTACCCATTGTGTCTGTTGATCAGTTCAAAATTCAAAGGGGGTACCTATAGAGGAAAAAGGGCCAGGCATACGAAATTTGAAGAAGATCCATCCAGTTTATCTCAAGAAATAACAATCTTTCACTGTCAGAATCAAAGATGCCCACCTGCCACTAAAAATCAAAAGAACACTACTAGGGACCAAGGGAAACCGACATATGAAATTTAAAGATGATCCATCCCGAACGTACAAAAAAATAGCGGTAATAATCTATTACTGTCAGATGTATGACTGTCGGCCATTTATTTTTTTTTTTTTTTCCAAAATCAGGCAAACTTGACACTTGAAAACTTGAACTTACATGTGAATTTATATATAAACTTTATTTGTTTTACAACAATTGCGAAACAAGTTATTTAAACTTATACTAATCACTCTTGTTGGCCCGGATGTAAGCGCGCGAGGGGCCTTATTGTGGGAGGAAACCGGAGTACCCGGGGAAAACCCACGCGGTCGGACAGGTGACCCCTTACCTTTTCACGTCCGTTCCGGGAATCGAACCCCGGTCGGCTAGGTGAAAGGCGAGTGCGTTAACACTGCGCCACCCGACCACCCGTACATGTGAATTTAGAGACAGATCCGTCCAGTATCCAGTATTTCTCAAGAAATAGCGAAAACAAACTTTCATAGTCAAATCGATAACTGACAATTTTCTCTTATCAGGCCACCTGTCAGCTACTTTGTCCTTTCAATCAATCCCAAAACCTAAAGGCCGCAACGAGAGACCATGGAAAACCTATATGCAAAATTTGAGAAAGATTCATCCAGTGCTTCCCAAACCTAAAGATAACAAGATAACAATGATGTTGGGCTTAACATATCGCCTACCAAAATTTGAAGAATTTAATGTTAACCTGAGATCTCCAAACAATATTTAATTGTCGAAAAAAGGGAAGAAATACATCTTCAAAAATTGTTGTATCAATCTGCCGTTCAAAGAAACACAAGCTATTATTGTGAAGCTACAAAGATTAAAAGAAATTTGTTAATAACTAGGGAAGAATAGATCTCGGTAATATTAAGGTACAAGGAAATTGTAAATGACTGTTGCAAGCTATTTTTAATTGCATTGCTGTTCTGGAAATCACAAAATCATGTCAAAGGAAACCCTACCAAGTCTGACAGGGATCGGCAAAAAAATTATGAGAGTAGACCTTTGGGCAAGATTAAGATAATGATAATTCATAGTGTAATTCTCTTCCAGTAACATATCCCTGTCACTGTGGAAAGAGATATAAGAAATAATAGACCGTCTCCAGTTCAATTCTATACATGTAATTCTTCAAGCAACAAATATCATGTCTGGCCTTCCAACTCACTTTTCTTGTTTCAACAGACAGGAAAGGATAGAAAAGTGAGTATGTTGGAAAAAGGAGTAAGTGAAAATTGATGAAAATTGTCGGGAGAAGGGTATGTGATAGATCAAAACATGCAAACATGTCCTTACCTTATATCCATACCGGCGTTCAGACGTCTAATCTTCATTGACATTACAATTCTTATTCTGGATGTGCTAGGTCCTGGTGAAACGGCATCCTTTTGTTGGTAGGTGACATCTGCTATGTGAGGTGGCTCTGTTCGTAATCAGGCGATGAATATGGTGTATTTTATCTTATTCAGTTGCAATAAATATCAAATAAATATATCACATTTTTCTCTGAACTAATTGTGATCTTAACTGCATCGATTGTAAAAGTTGGAAAACATTTGTGTTGTTGTTAATACCGTTTTCAAATCTACACGCAGATTAATTTCGTCTAACCTTTACCACTACAAAGTAAACCTTATGCTGTACATAACTTAACATTTGAACTTTGTTCTCACCCCAGAAGTATTACTATGTCATATAAAAGTTTGACCATGTCGCCCTCGTACGATACTGTAGAGCACGATGACGTGATGGATGGTGATGTGGGGTGAGCAAATCCGAAGGTCAAGCATATCCTATATAAATAATTAAATCACCAGCTCTAAATGAGCCAAAGAAGAAAGATGAAGTACACAATAGCTGTTGTTTCGATTCTGTTCGCCACATGCATGGCTAACACCATAACTTTCAAAGACTGTGGTAAGTTTTTTTTTCAGTCATATTTTTAAAATTACATTAACTTTATTATGATTATTAATTTATTCAAACATCACTGAAAGATTTTACAAAAGACACAAGTGAAATACACTTCTGAAGACAAATCTAGCGTTAGATACAGTAGTGTGAATCAATGGATGAACAGAATTCATCCATGGTGCTAAGAGCCTAAACGTTGAAGCCTATAAGACGACAGAACGAAATGAAAAGTGATCGAAAGAAAAGTAAAAATAGACGTGGAAATGCACATAATCAAATAATCTTTGTAATTCTCATATACACTCTATTGGATAATATCTAAACGGAGAATTAACGAGATTACTAAAGTGTTTAGTCCGATAATTATAATACGTAGGAAACATATTACACGAGTATAAATGCAGACTTTTGATATATATATATATATATATTCACATTTCTATTGATCATTTACACAATAGAAAAACCCAATGACCCCATTGTTAAATATGTGCCACTTTTATAGGATAAAGATACGAGAAGAAGTACACGTACTAATGATACACATCATTATAATACAATATTTATGTTACTGAACGTCACTGTACACGCCACAACAATGTGTATGAAAGTATTAAACGCAGACTATGCAGTCCATATGAACAAATACATTCAGTGGGTAAATAGTTTGATAGTGATAAATGTTCAACGATAGTTTTGATAAAATATCTTTTTTTTAAAGTTTTTAAAGACATTGGTTTCTCAACCACAAATACATAAATATAAGCATTTCTGTATCAAAATAAAGTGATTTTTGATGAAATTTCCTTATCCTCTAACGCATTGTTGCATTGCTTCCTATTTCATTAAAATCCAAATGCTCAAGCGAGTAAAGTGTACATACATTGAACCGATCGTTGGATCAGTTTTACAGTGTAATGCTGCGTTTTCTCTGTCATCAAATATTAAATGTTGATCATGTTTTAGACAAATAAATATACTCTCTTAAAAACAAATGCAGATATGCTATATCTTTCCACTGATGAAAATACCTTATAAACATTCATGTACCAATTTGACCAATCTGTATGCCTATATATACTGTATATATACTGTTACTCACATGAATGCCAGTATCAAAATAACAGTTTGACAGGCATGTAAAAACCATAACAATGTTCAACCATTTTACAATCTCATTCATTCTATATCATACATATTTGTCTTGCTCTCGATAAAACGTCCTTAGTTTCCACGATAATGTTTTTGTTTTTCAAATTATTCATTTGTCTTTTTATTACACTGATTTGTTGTATTCGCAGGTTCGGTTGGTGCCAAGGTTAATTCATTAGATGTTATGGGTTGTACAGAAGAACCATGTCATTTGGTCCGAGGCAAAAATGCTTCTATCTCCATTAACTATACAGCAAGTAAGGTTTTATCTCGAATGTTTGAACTTCGTCTTGTATGTACCTTGTCCAAATTTACAGGCGTAAGCATTCCTGTATCAATCTATATTTTTATGTGTTTATTCATTCTACGTTTGTTCATTAAAAAACGTCAAGGGTATACAGAAAAAAAAACCATTATCAACACAGAACCTGTGTCAATATAATCTTGTGGTTATCAAATGTTAACTGTTACAAATGTTACAGTATAATAACATTGAAATATTACGTCTTCATTGTGTTTATCAATATAATCTTTCGCCGCGTGGATGTGAGATGATGGATCTCAATCTGATAAAGGGATTAAAGTCGGCAAACACAAGTAACTTAACAATCTCCCTCCGATGGTTGGGCTCCTCTCATCCTAACAACAAGGAAGAAATTACTCAGCACCCAATTGATCTCCTTGTGTATGTGTTGTTGCTATACGAACGCTTTGAATTGTCGACGTGACGTTATAATTATGATAAGGGAATCCCAACGCCTTAATCTTCGGATGAGACAGGGCTCTCTAACTCCGTTAGAAACGTGATTCACCTGTACATGATAGCAGAATAAAATACTAATTTAGTTGTACTAGTACTACTACGTCCGTGACCATTACTACTACTACAACCACTACTTCAACCTAATACTACTACCACTATAACTACTAATAATACCACTACTACCACTACCACTACTGTTACTGCTACTAATACAACTATCACTATTACCATCGCCATCACAACCACACTATTTCTACTACTGCGACGGCTACTTCTACTACTGCTACTACTACTATTACTACTACTATACTACTACTACTACTATTACTACTACTACTACTACTACTTCAACCTAATACTACTACCACTATTACTAATAATAATACCACTACTACCACTACCACTACCACCACCGCCGCCAATACTACAACTACCACTATTACCACTTCTACTACTACTACTACTACTACTACTACTGCTACTACTACTATACTACTACTACTACTACTACTACTACTACTACTACTACTACTACTACTACTACTACTAGTACTACTACTACTACTACTGCTTACTACTACTACTACTACTACTACTACTACTACTACTACTACTACTATTACTACTACTATTACTACTACTACTACCACCACTACAACTACTACTATCACCACCGCCACTACCACTACTACTACTACTACTACTACTACTACTACTACTACTATTACTACTACTACTACTATCACTACTACTACTACCATTACATTTACCACCACCACCATCACAACCAACACATTCTCTAATGCTAATAACAATACACACTTATACTAATCATACTACTGCTATGGCTTATACCAATAATAAGGATATCCTGGCGGGATGCCTCAGGTTCGTCAACATTTAGTCGGAGAAGTCCATTAGTAAAGTCGCCTATTACCGTTGTTGACTTTAACGGAGCCAATATTCCTAGTTTGTCTTGGTTTTGGTTACTTCATTTGGATTTGATTTCCTGGTTCTCGGTAAACATATGTCATTTTTTCATAGTAAAAATGTTGAATAGTAGATTTTTCTGTTATTTTTAATTATCGCTAATATTGCGGATAGAAAAAACCTTGTGAATAACAATAATTATACAGTATTGTAACGACATTAATCTAGGATATCAAGCTATTTTTAGTATGTTGATACCGGTGTTCTATTTGTGGTTCCATAGTATGTTGATACCGGTGTTCTATTTGTGGTTCCATAGTATGTTGACACCGGTGTTCTATTTGTGGTTCCATAGTAAGTTGATACCGGTGTTCTATTTGTGGTTCCATAGTATGTTGACACCGGTGTTCTATTTGTGGTTCCATAGTATGTTGACACCGGTGTTCTATTTGTGGTTCCATAGTAAGTTGATACCGGTGTTCTATTTGTGATTCCATAGTAAGTTGATACCGGTGTTCTATTTGTGGTTCCATAGTATGTTGATACCGGTGTTCTATTTGTGGTTCCATAGTATGTTGACACCGGTGTTCTATTTGTGGTTCCATAGTAAGTTGATACCGGTGTTCTATTTGTGGTTCCATAGTATGTTGACACCGGTGTTCTATTTGTGGTTCCAAATGATTTTATAAATAACATTTATAAGTAAAACATCAACCAACATCAATGTGAATAAAGGAAAAACTGATTTATTGACTTTTGTATCAGTTGAAATGATTTTTAAGGAGAACCATCTCTGGAGTGATCAATAGATTTAAGAGATCGTACAAAAGTCACACAAGTGAATAGCAACTTTTTATTCAAATTTCAGAGTTAGATACAGTAGAGCAAAACAATGAATTCAACAGCATCATACAGCGGTTTCCTGTTTATAGCACTCGTCAGTGATGCTACGGCCTGCACTTTAAAACCTATGTGGCGACCGAGGAAGTGATCGAATGCAAAAAGATAACCTTAATTGGGAGAAGCACTAGACTCACAATTAAAACATGATTTAGGAATTTTCATGTATCTCATAACTATATACATTTAAAAGTCCAGCATAAATTCTATATACATTTTGACATATCCTTCAAACGAGGGCTGTTTATATTAAGTATTGTGTACATTTCCAATGGTTGTCTTGATTTGTAGCTGAGGACATGACCCATCCGACTAACGCCATTTACGGTATTATTGATGGAGTTCAAGTTAAGTTTCCAACTGCAGAGGATTGCTGTGCCATCAAAAACCTTAACTGTCCTATCAAGACTGGATCGACGTCCACCTACACCAACAGCATTTTTGTTGCGACTTCCTATCCAAAGGTAGATATTAGCTTTTAGGACAATAAAAAAAACAATGTATCAAACACAGTTTCGTCTAAGTATATACAAAAAGTCTTGAAACCCGAAGGGACTGAAGAAATGAAAATGAAGTATGTTAAATATAAAACTTTGAAAGGAAAGTAATGAATTCATGGTAAGTTTAGCCATAAGTCAGTTTTATAAGTATTTCATATTACTGAGTGTGTTAAATAAATCCTTTACAATCACAATAAATGGGTGGTGTTGTGGATTCCTACAATATACGTATACCTATTGCCATGAAAACTTTCATCAGATGGGTAAGCGTGTTATAGCTGCTAGAATGTCGGGACAATGATATAATTGAATAGTCATACTTCATAAATTATTATTAGTATACAAACTTTTCCAGTGTTTTTTTTTTTTTTTTTTTTGTGTGTTGTTTTTTTTGTTTTGTTTTGTTTTTTTGCTTATTTAGGGGAGGGGGGCTCTATTTTTATTCCATATGAAGAACTCATTATAGAACGTATTAAGTTTGCTTTTATTTCCAGAAAAATTAATTATCGCTAGCGTTATATTTGTATTTTTCAGCTTACACTAGTTGTCAAGATGGCCGTACTGGACGATAATAAAAAAGACTTTCTATGTGTGGTGTTCCCAGCAGTTATCGCTGATAGCTAAGGAGACGCATTTCAAACTGATTTGTCCACAAACTTATTCTTTTATTTTTTATAAATTATTTTGTAGATAAAAACGGACGTTTTTGTTATTTGTTATATCAGTACTTAATTAAATATCTTAAATTTGTAACACATGTTACACATTTACATTACACATGTGACACATTAGAGATGATTGTAGTATCAATATATAAAACATGCACCACTTCATCAACACCAAGGTATCCTAGAGTTTATCGTCGATATAAAGAGATGAGATACCAAGCATGAAGCATCTAAAACACTACCAACATTTCAACCATCGCCGGTTTTTTTCAAACACAGCCAATGTTAGTCCCGAAACAAATTTATTTATCTGTTTCAAAATGATCTGATACACGATAGTAAACCATCAAAGAGGTAACACTGTCTACTTAAGAAGTGAAATTAATGATATGTAGATGTTATAGGATTCCAAAAGCTTTTGACCAATGTTCAACACCCTGATGATTGTATTTTCCTCATATTTTCTGAATAGTAACAGACCTGTACCCCCAACTTTAAGTGTTTATATGTCGCAACGGATCGATATTAAAAAACAACAAGAAAATGCCAACGTGTCTACTCACTCGTAACTTAAACTCAAGTTCAGTAAAACTAGGGCAAAATATGAACAAGATCTACACGGAGACTCCTGAAAAAATACAAGAATAAAACTAGGTTTTCCGGAAGAGTAACCCTCTTCTGCTTCATCCACGATGCGTCATGTAAATGTTGGTCAATCTAAGAAGTAATTTCAAGTTCTCAAGTGTGATTAAGGTATACAACAATGAAACCAAAAAGCAATTTCTGTAAGTCTCCATGTAAATCTTTTGTTATTTTTTTGCCCTTGTTTTATCATATTGGAGATTTAGTTATAATGTTTTTGGCATATCGGTATTTTCTTCCTTGGTTTTAATGCATCTTCTGTAGATCCAACACAATAAGCAATATAAAAACTTTGGAAAGGTTCAAAACTTCTACTGCACTCCCAACATATAAGTCACTACTGACCTTCCAAAGTAAAGTTTTAATGCTTCAATGTTTCTACTGAAGGTCTAATATATAGCCACGTCAAAGTTTGACAAGGTTCAATTCTTCTACTGTAAGCCTAGTATATTAAGCCACTCCTGACTTTGGAATGGTTCGATGTTTTTACTGTAAGCACAATTTATCAAGCCTTCCCAAATTTCGGAGAGGTTTAATAATTCTACTGTAGGTCAAATATATTATCTGACCCAAAAATTTGGAAAGGTTCAATAGCTCTGGTGTAGGCCTATATATTTTTCATCCAAAATTTTGCATAAGTTCGATGCTTCTGCTACAGGTAAGTAACGAGCATCGAACACGTAGAGCATCAAGTTTCATATGCACAAATAGAATATTTCTCAATGAGATCGCTGTGGCGGCTATAAAACTCTTTGTTATAAGTTTGTCCGTCACTTAACGACGTCTTGCACAAATTTCGTGATAATAAGAACAGCCCCTTGAATATTGAATCAACTGCAACCTGTAAACACCATAGATTGGGTTTGTTCGGCTGTTGCTATCCGTAAATGGAAAACTCAAAATACGGAAATCAAAACCATCACTTTTATCATACAACTTAATGGAAAGCTGTCCATACTGGTTTCGTTGTAGGAAAAGATCTAGATAAACGGCTGATGTCCCGATATCACTACTTTCGTGCAAGATGTCAACAACTGGCAAACAAACTCACAATACAGTGTTTCGAGCAGACTGATCATTATAATAATCTAATTACACGATAAAAGTGACTAACGGTATTACACAGACACCTTTATCAAACATATTTATATTAGTATTGTAATGATACATGTGTTTACTCAATAGTAACTTAAAAGTCTGATCATTTTTACATCAATTGACAAACACTAAGCTTGTCCTGTCTCTCGCTTTAGTTCCGGGTTCAACTATCAGTCAATCCGCGCTCATCCAGATGAATGTCGCAGTGTGTCAAATATACTTTATATAAATATCAAAATCAGATTGCTTGATATCTTTATATGGTACGATTGTGTTGTTGGTTAAAGGTTCGGGGTGGGTAGATATGGACGTACGGAGATAAAGATCGGACTACATAACTGGTCAGATCAGTAGGTAAGGGAAGATATAGTACACAGTGGTTATCCTCTCGACTTGCCAGTCACCACTAAGTTCAAAGACTGTAGTATGTAAAGACTGGGGTATGTTCCAATTTTAATTTACCGCTGATATTTGTAACGACTTGCGTTTTATCAAGAAAAATATTACAATAGTGGCCTTTAAAAAAGTACAACCTTATAAAACAGCAATGATTCTAAAATACTGTAAATGTACTTCTGTGAAGAATCCAACGTACGAGGACTCTCTGTGTTCATAAACATCTTCGTCGTAATTTTCGTTGTGTCTTCCTTTCTAGAGCCAACTTCAGTAATTGTTTTCTCATTTGCAATGTTTTTAAAAGTAACTACTATACTGGAACAGTTCACGGTATGAATGGAATAATCCTACCCGTATAAACAGAATGAAAAATCAATCGAAAAGAAAAAAAAAATTAGTTCTCTTTTCGAAAGTTTAATGGTTTTCCTATGTTACTTTAGATGTCAAGTCGGTTGTCACTGAAGAGGATAAAAGTTTTTTTTTTATGTTGCTGGCTATCACCGCTGACAGCTAAAGGGAAATAACCCTGAATGACACAATGACGTTGAGTAGGAAACTTCAATACAAATTTAGAATCAGATAAAGCACAATAATATAATAAATCAAACTACATCATACAGCTGTTTCGTTCTTCTTTCGCTTGTCTGAGATGCTAATTGCCTAATATTGTGGTGAATTAGCAGGTGATGAGGAAAATCAAAACAGGTTGAAATCACTGTGAAAAACGAGATAAGGAAGTGCACCAAATTGGAAACAAATCGTAATAACACCGTGTATATTTTAATCCAATGAAATTGATGAAAACAAGACTAACACTACACGACAGAGATAAGTCCACCAGCTGTGTTCACATCTCTCGCAATCTCACGAGGTTGGAAAAGACCCTTTCTTTTAAATGTGAACGTTTTTATGCCGCATCGGGCTGATAAATCCTGATTTTATTTTCATTTAACTGGTGAAATGATATAGTCCATCATAATTACATTATACAAAGCGAAATGAATCCTTAGAAAAAGATGGTACTGTACACAACCATAAGTCCATGTTTCGATGTAAACATTACTGTGTAAAAACATTTCCATCAAAATCATTTCACAAACTCTAACTTGAAAACATGCTTTGTGCTTTGTTTTTATTTGGTGTTTTCCCCGTTTTTTTTTTTTTCATATTAGAAATGCGTTTCTCAGACGTGTTTGGATACTAATACACAATGTTTGATACCTAAGTAGTAACATAGGCTGCTTAAGTCGTAATCCTACACAACAAATCTGCCATCACTAAGCATCACTGAGGAGTCCTTTTTAAGTTTCCCTCAGCCGACTCATTGGTTTCAAAATACATACCCTTAGTATCACTGACTAGCCCAAGAAGGACGAAACAATTGTACACTGCAGTTCCATTCATAACGTGACTCTAAGTATCTTATTCTAAATTTGTACAAAAAGTGTTGTTAAATTGCGGTTTTTTTTTCAAAATCATGCCCATTAGTTACAGTTATAAGTATTTCATTGCTCATACCTTGATTTTTTTTCTTCAAGAAAAGCAACAGGGTTTTATTAAGTTGTATGACACGCCAGATGATTTCCCTATTGTGACTTATCTATTTCTAAATAGCAACAGCCCTAGTTCTCCATATTATGGAAATTACACGTGGGAGCCATGTTTGAAGTCCAAGGACCTGTTCTGGTGTCGCAACACAGCGTTTCGAGAGATGCAGATTAAAGGAAAGTCTGAACTGCCATAATTCTGTTCTCCTTGGGGAAATATGATTTCCTTGTGTGATAAGAAGTTGGATGTGTTTGATGCCTGTAAGTATCGGTTCCATTGTTGTTAACAATACTCTCGTTTGACGTTGCTTACTTGGATTGACCAAGAAGAATAAGACACTTTCTCTTTCGAAACCCCTGGTCTTAGCCTCCTTTTTCCACCAGTATCTGTATAAATCTTTCTTTTATTCATATTTTAATCTCCTTTCCTCTAACTTAGTGTTTCTGTTTTTTTTTCTTTCGGTCCATCGACAATTAAAGTTAAAAGCTAACAAATACAAAAAGAGATGAGTGAAAATGAGAATTTTCACAGATGGCAAGTTTAAAATGTTCAGGGGACTGTGTGAAGTCGGAGTAATCAGTTACAATAATGTCCTACAGTAGGTCAAGGATCACATACTTGACAGAAAAGGATCTCCTCTTCAGAAAATATAACTGTGTGGTATCCACATCAGCTTGTTTAATGCTTGAGACCAACTGTTTTAAATCTGTGTTTGAATTATAATCCTTTGGAGTTAACACTTTCTTTGTTGCCCTGAAGGTCATATATATATATATATATATATATATATTATTGACTTTCTGCTGTGTTTAACTTTTAAAGAATTCTTGTGGAATGTTATATTACTAGGAGAACAAACAAATTCATATACATGTTATTTATAACTCTGTTTCTGATATTTTAAGGATAATTTGATGAAAATCTGTCTGCAAAATCCAAATGATAACAATCTAAGTTAAATTATTCCTACAGTAAGTATCCGGGTTATAATCTCTACACAGACTTCTGTAACAGGTCTGAATTATAAAGATCAAATCTAAACAACTCATGTTTAGTTAAAAGTGTTTTATTTCGCTTTAATATTGATAGAAACAATCCCAAGCTGGCTATCTTTCACGCTATAGCTTACAACACACAGACACTATCCATTTCAAAATCTGTCTTCATTTAAAATAGCTTATCGCCATCATTATATAGTAAAGCATGTGTAATGGTGAGATATTTTAAAGTGTACATCCTTAATCGACCATGGCATGGTTACCAAGACATTGT